CAACCTTGTGTTTGCAGCGAGTATTTCTAGATTTCTGGATAATAACAAGCCCGAGCCCTTATTCTGTAACGTCCAAAAGCGGTCCTGATGTATAATAATATTTGTGTACCGCGCTATTCCAAGGTTATGTGGTTGATGTCCCATCAGCGCTACGGAAATACAAATACGTTGAACTTGCATACACGTCGGGATCAGTATCGCTGTATTGGAAGTTACCGAGTAAGGGCGCTGGAGTGAGTCTTCTCATGGTCGAAGGAATTCCGTAAAGCATTATCATTCCCATATATCAGAGGAATAACTAGGTTATTAAGGTTAAAGTGGCGTTAAGCCGTCCACCATTGCTCCAATAAGAAGCGTATTATGGCAAGGTCATAGAGGTTACAGATAACCAGGTAGACGTATTATGTTTGTACGAAATAGCATAAGACGCAATAAAGTATTGTATAGATTAGGCATGACACATACATTAATTTTCTTGTTTGATGATTCATGAGCTGCGGTCATAAATTTCCAATTAATTTTTGTCAATAATAATTATGTATCCTGTAATGTGTGTAAACATAAAGCCTTTTTATAAATTTATTTATTTACTCTTGACACCGATCGCGAGACAGAACGAGGACAGTCACCGTCTGGTGTCAGCAAGGTGGAGACTGGCTCGATGCTCAATAATGTCTAAAGGAAATGATTGGTGTTTAGTCGCCTAAAGATTCTTTATAATTCCACTCAACCTACGTTCATTGCATAACGACGTCCTTGCGCGCTGATGTCATCGACTCACGCGTTTATTCCATGTAGAAACGACATTATTATGGTAATTAATATACGTCATTCACAAGTTTTTGCATTTTAGACTATAATAATATTTGCTTATTAAATATCAGAGTTTGCAAATGAGAGGTTATTTATTAATTATTAAATAAGAATAGTTTTAGCCTTCAATAGGTTGAGTGGCGTCTTTATATTGATAACATAACAATGTCGTACAAAAAGCCTTGTAGATACTTTGTAAAGTGACGTAATATTTCAATTTAACCAGATGCAAACAATGCTAAAGGAAAGCTGACTCTTGACCTTAAAGATTGGAAGACTGCCAGTAACAGCATATGCCTAGTTTAAACTACATACGAAAAGAATTTTGGATCATAGGGAATTTAATACTGTAATAGCTTTTTAACGCCATTTCCGATAGTTAAAAACGTATTGTATGATGTCTGCAGTATTTTGCAAGACATTTAAGACAAAAATATTTGATTTGATTACTTACTGATTACAGCACATAATGGTAACTTTTAGCTATAAAGAGTCACTGGGTGGTCACGGAACGTTTTACTATTGGGTACAGAAAAACGTTACGGCGCGTTACACGGGGGGGGTCAATAATCTCCAAAAATTGCGTGACGTCATACTTGAACGCTCCCTTAGCGACTTCAAATTCGTGTAATAAAAAAACTAGGGTTGAATTTACTATGGCCTAAATATATAGCTGTTTAATTTATTAGATAATTAAAAAGAAAGCTATACTTTTAAAGTTGGTCTAACTTTAGTGTGTTTATTTATAAGGCTTCTTAGTTTATTGGCTATGAATCGTTATTATGATATCACCTTCGAATAATGTGTATTGTTTTCTTTTATTTAAATTTCTTTCAAATGTATTTGATGTTTTCATTTGTCTATCGCTGAATGAATAGTTCTAAAATTAATGAGAACAAAAGCATAAAAATACGGCAGTACAAAAATATGTATATTATATTTGTATCTGTGTATTTAATGCTAATTGGTATTCAACGATAAGGCAGCAGGTGACCCGGTTACTTATATGAGACAATTATAGGGTCACGCGCAGATCTGCGCAAACGCATACGAGTGAAGCAAACGCTCTGTTTTGCGAATGACGAATATTTACTATATTTAGAACTGAAATAATGTAACTTTTACATGTAGGTATGACGTAATAGTTTTAGGAATGATTTCATGACAGTTGGGAGACGCCACGTCAGCAAAATTAAACATTGCTCTTTAATGAACGCAAACGTTTGTAGGTATAAATTTTATCTGTTCTGGTTTCTCTCTAAAGAGGTATTATTAATTATATTTACCGAATACCGACCTCTCTCATTTCCAACATTGACAAAGACCCGACCTCTTAACCCCACTCCCATTGCATTTCCGTTTTAATTAAATAAATATATTTGTTGTATATATCCATCAGAACATTTTGTGTGTTAAGTGATATTATATCGAAATTAATAAAATTAACATAAATATCTCATCTACGTGTAGTAGATGAGATATTTATGTTAAAAAACTGCCATATTTTACGCCTTCAATAGTTTTGAAGCAATTCTTTTATTATATATGAGGCAATGCCTTATACGAATATATCAAGAAATGAATCAATAAATTTAGATTTGGTCTTACTAAGTGTGCGTAAGCGCGTAGAGCATCCAAAATATTTATAAACTCCTACCGTAAAGTAGAAATAGAAATAGCCACTTCCGACTTCATTGTGGATGAAGATTCTTATTTGAAATAACGTTTTGTTCATATCTTATAAGTAAGTGTAGTCTAGAATTGGTAAATATAAGCATTTTTTTTCGAGACTGTTCAATGGATCAATTTTAGGCGCTAATCAAGAGCTGAGTATGGTAGTTATTTGTAAGCAAAAGATTTTAAAAACTGCTAGCAATAAACCTTATTTGTAGTTAAATATTTGAATTGAATTGAAAAAAAAAACCACACAACCCTTATGGTCTTATAAATATCGTCACTGTAAATGATAACGACGTATGTCAAAAAAACATTTATTTTTTAATCTTAGAACCTTATGTCATTTAACTGGTATAATCATGAAGTAAGGACATATTTATGTTATTAATAAATAAGTCCTTTTATTTATCCTTTTTACTATAAAATTAAAGACAAAAACACATAATAATATTTTTACGAACATTGACGAAATGAAACATTTTTCGTTTCCTGTAATGTTTGGTTCTCTGGACATGCGTGGTTATCATTCTACAGCGACGATATAGTTTTTAAATAACTACGTTACATATTTTAAACGCCGTTTAAAAATGAAATATAAATATTTTTTAAATATATGAAACGTGAGATCGCAGGACAGCTTGCCTAGGTAATTCCTAGAGGAATGAGGGACCGGAGACGGCCTATAAGTAGCATTGCTCTAATTCAATTTGTCACAAACCGTTCTTGAATATTTAAATGGAATGCGAGATTCCATTGCGTTTGCAATTCTATGTTCGCTTCGTATAAATAAATAATATATTCAGACCACCTACTGAGATACCTTATACTTGGAAATAACCAATGTTAGAAAACCTTAATTTATTTGAGCACCGATATAATATTTAATTAGAAGTGTTGACATAGAGCCTAGAGTCGCGACTTAACCCGGAGATCTTTGCGTTTGAACCCCAGGTTTCTTTATATGCGCAATGCTTGCTTGTACGAAGTAAAATTTTCGGCACATCTAAGGGGGCCAGTAAGCTGTTTTTTTTATTTAGGCCCATTTAACCTGTTTACCTATAAAGAAAAGTGATTAATTAAACAGATACTAAAAACTGAGGTCAAGAAGAAGTGCAACAATAATTGTTTCTATATTATTGATGGTCTAAGTAAGATTCTCGTTGATTTTGCATAGTAGGTATGTATTGATAATTCGAAACTGTTGTTTTTGGTATGGAGACCTTGATTCGACATGGCTACTTTTCTTTTTCGAACGCAGGAATCAGTTCATATTGCTACGCTACGCTTCATAAATTATAACACGTATTAAATTAATCGTATATATAACGTCGCGACGAGTGAAAGTTTTTTATATATTGTTAATTTCTTGAGTTCAACTTACGTTTTAGAATATATAACGTAACAATTTTTGCCCACTATGGGTTAAATTCGTGTTCAGTACATATATAATGACTGCTAAAGCATACATATATGTCTTAAAATGTTATGCACACTAAAATACACCTTAAAAGAATGTATATATTTAGGGATTCAAAGTAATTATGAATCAGGATTCCTGTCATAGTTGTCTTAGTGTAAACTTCTGAGTACTGTTTTTATTCGTTTTTGAATCATGATGTGCGTTTTCTTATCAATGCTTGAAACATGTACAATTTTCTTGTTATTTTACTGGTGCTAATTGCTTATTAAGCGCAGGTACAGAATTTGTTTTTACCAAAATATTCAGTTATGTAAAATCATTTACGTGTACCAAATTAAAAAATAACAATTTTGTTGGCCCATTTGTGTTTATATTTTAAAATTGGACAATCCTCAAAATAAAACTTGTTTTAGGAGGTGGTCTCTGAAAAATCTGGGCGGTTCAATGAAAAGGTAATGAATGTTAAAAAACACAAGTATTTATTGAATGCTATAATTATGTATTTGAAGGCTCACGTACTTAGAAACTGCAACTAATGAGCATGGCTTTAACGTGGTTACCTAACATAGAATTTATATATTAATTATTGGTGAAAATATTTAACAATCAAACAAACAGATTTAAATTAATTCCTAAATAATGTTGAAAATTTAGTAAATTATTCAGTGTAATAAACTTTGTAATCTTAATTTGTTCCTGGGATAATGATATGATTATTACTCTTTATTAGCTACGATGCTAAGTGGGTTAGGAACAGTAGTTTTGTTGTGTGAACAAACATATGGACGTATTATGCTATGAATCAAATGCTAATTATTCTTAATTGTATGGTAAACAACGAATACTTTTCCCTATTATTATTTTACCTCCAGTAGACATTCGATATTTTCATAGGCAAGGGACGCATTACCCTGTACCTTAACTATCAGAGCCAGTGGCCCTTTACGTTAACGGCCTTATGAAACCTGGATTAAAGTGACCATGATTACGATAAAATTTCCGTATAGTAGGAATGGTAACAAATAAGTTATTCACTTTAAACCACGTTATAATAACACGTAATAGTAAAGTATTTATGTTATTTTTTCAGGTAGAAGAACGTAAACGCGCGATATGGGAAGCGTCCATATCGCGGCGGGAGGCGTTACTTCAGCGGGAGCGCGACCGCACCGAAAGGCTCGAACGGGCCCGCGCGGCTCGATCTGCGCCGCGGCCGGCGTTCGCCTTCGGATCCTCTACTCCGAGACTGCTGGAACCGGTCGACTCAGCTGGCTTTTTCTGGGCCGCGCGCAGGTAAGCATAAGATAGACATTTATGAGACAGAAAATTAAGGTTTGGTTGAAAATATTGTTTGATTATCAAAGTCGTAGATATATGATTTTACGTAGTTAAAACTGTTTTTAACCAACCCTCGTTTTTTCGTTGAAGTAGTTTTTATAAAGTTACTAGCTAGTATAAGCAAGCTAGCAGTCGAATATGTCAAACCATTTTTTTTTTAATTTAATTTTGCTTTGCTTCTATGACCATGGTTTTGGGTCCAAAGTATATGAAGTGGAGTTTCACTTTATTTTTGCACTAATTTTTTATTTGTTTTTCTCCAGTACCAACCCACTAGATCAGATGAACTTTTTTGAGTCACTGTAAGCAATTTTTGTTATTATTTATTAACACATGAGTGCAATATTAACATCGATTTTGTATAACTGTTTCTCAGTATTGTTGTATAGCCTATACTTTAGCGTAGTTTGTTAAATATTTGTTATGCATGTTGTGACGTAGATGATCTCGTAGTGCATGAATGTAAATATGAAATCTTCATACCTTTATATATTCTACTATGTATCATTTAAAATGTATTTGCAATAGTTATGCTGAATGTATTTTTCATTAAAGAACCATACTTTTCGATAATTTTACTTTAATACAATTATTAGCGTTAACCAATATCTAGTGATTATTTTTATCTTTACAGATAAATTGTGCCGTTTAAATATAAAGTATAGAACGTGTTAATAATTTAACCGAATTCAGTTATTCAGCTCTCTAGTTAAACTGTACAGGATATAAACTGTTACGCGCACACACAGAATAAATAATTAGTGGGCTATACTAATTACTAAACGTTACTGACATACTGTTTCTATATATTGAGGAATCCATTTTCGTTTTGGTAAGGAATTTAGAAATTAATCGTCCATAGTGACCTCGAAGATTCCATAAAAAATGTATATGCATTCACTGTTTATATTTGTACGTCTACCTATTTCGTATACTTTATTTAAGCCCTGGTCAAATTTACATCGGAATTAAGGTACGGGGACAGATCGATTTCCAAAAACGAAAATTGTTTTTATTAAATTACTTCTTACAAATTCATAAACATTAAATGGTATTATTACGACTTAGGGTCCTTCAAGAAAAGAGCGTACCGATACTTAAAAGGAACGTACACACTCGCGAGACCTCTGATATTGAGAGTGTCCATGGGCAGTGGTATAACATCAGTACAGCCTCCTGCCAGTTTGCACCCTGTTCTATTAAAAAAATATTAAGAAGCGGTCACACCTTGACTAGATTCGCATTTGATCCGATTAAAATATATTCTTAACAAGCTACTGAAAATTTTCCGCACGAACAAATTGAAATTATCAATTCTTATCAACTCTTGCAAGGTGATTAAATTATTTTAATAAGAATAGATCCTTGTCGCGTGTTTGTTTTAATACTGTCATCAGTGCAAACGAACTTTGATTTATATTTCAATATTTAGATAAAATAAATCTGTATATTTGTAACGTTCTTGGGTCATCGGGGTGCTTTAAATAATAGAGGATTTTATTTTCACTCTATATTAACCACTCGCGTACAATAGAATATAAGCGAAATAATGAAAATGTTAATTGCTATGTAACGAATGAATGTAATGTAATAGTTGAAGAGAGTGCCTACGTCTGGCTATACTCTCGGGGCGTACCTCCGACGATTTAGGAAATCGCCACGCTTATAAAATTAAGAAAGCTTGAGTGAGCAAAATGTGCAGCCTTGGCTTGTACAATATTGTTAAAGTTAATACTATAAATGACTAATTTTAAACTTAAATACACGAACTTCAACTTATTGTGCTATATGCAATACAAGATAACAACGGGTTCCAATACCAAATAACCCGTATTTGTATGCTACTTTAAACCAACCACCATTGCCAGGGTCTAACTCGCACTCGACGCTGTTCATGTTATTTAGGACACGTATTTTTGACAAATATCTACATAGACATTAATTATGAAACGTAGAACCAAGAGGGAGAAACTAAAATCAACAGTAAGAGTGAACTGTGTACCAAAGGAAAATCTTGGTTCAGTGATTTCCTTTGATTAAAACGCCGCTATGTCGTAATCCTCTTGCGAAATATACCAAAAACTAAACCAGCCTTCAATCTCAGCTTCCTGTGTCCATGACTTCCATGCCATTGTCCATTGAAACAATGCTTCAAATTGACGAATCAATTCAATTATTTTTTAAATAATTTTAATAATTCGTCATTTAATAAAATGCAGTGCAGACGAATGTATGAAATGAAAGCAATGATAAGGTGACGCCAAGAATGAGCTTGTGTCATATACAAATAAGGAAGCAAATTCTATAAATACTTTCTAAAGAAATAAGAAAAGCAATTGAAACTAATCTTTGAAAATTAAGTTGGATCTGTAAACGTTTATTTGTTTTGGCCCCGAATACATTTTACTGTTCTGTAAAAAAAACAATAGAATAGACTGCAATGATTCCAACCTCGTTGAAGCAAAGGCCGAAGAAATAGAAGTTTTTTTTTCAGCCTGGAGTATATATAATACACTTGATTTTTACATTATTTAATGCATGAGGCACTGTAAAATCATTTAACATGTTTGAATATTTACACAATGTTTATGTAATCAGATATGTCCGCATTTAGATTATTTATAGCAATCTGTTTGGTATGTGTAATGTAATATAGCAACTAACCTTCTAGATTTAAAATTGAAAACTTTTTTAATTTTATTAGAACAAATTTCTACTAAACTTTTAATTATATCCAGGACATGATTTATGATTGAACACATATATTGAAGAGGAAATTTTAATTAAACTTTATTATAATGTAGTAGCACATAAATTGTTGATGTTACTAATTTTCTGACTTTAGGGGTTCTTTTTGAATCTCATATATATATATATATATATATATATATATATCTTACTTGAATGAAAAAGTTTAAAATTTTATTCCAAAATCAAAAGTCTTATTCATACTGATGTGAAGAAACCATTGATAGGTTATGATAAATTTTATAGTTACACGTTCTAAGGACCAAACATTCGATGACTTTATGTAAGATAATATGTATGTCCTTAAAAATAAAGACGTCTTTTTAATTAAGATTGGTATTTAATATAAAAAATCATAACATCTTCAGGGCGGCATCAACGACAAATGTGATGTATGCGTCTGCGCCGCTCACCCGACGAGCCTCCGCTCTTCAGCTGGACTCATCCGACACTGACAATAAAGGTATCTTCTATCTAAAGACTACAATTATTTCGTAAAAACATTTTATACGAAACAATTTTTATATCGCTGAAAAAACAATTCATGGCTGTTGAACCCCATAGCCTTATAAGCATTTCCATTTTTTACCTTTTTTTTTTAGGTAAATAGTTACAATATCTATCTTTAATTCCTAAAACTTATTCGTAATAGTTTTTAGTAATTATTGATTATATTAAGTAACATTCAATGTCATAATGACTATTCCTTTGATAGTCACGTTTCAACTTTCCAATTCTGAAAACAGTTTAGTTCTAAACGTTTATCACAATGTTCACTATAATGGAATTAAAATATGAATGTAAGTTTTTAAGAAATAAAGATTAACAAGCATTATAATAAATTCGTAAAACACGCGAAATGCCAGAATTGATATTTTTGAGTTTTAGTCTAGTTCAAAGTGGGTGATTTCTTAATAAATATTTTAATCATATAAAAAGTAAATCATTTCAAGTCTGTTTTAACAAAAGAGAAGAACTGCAATAACTTAATTTATAATTATTAATGCTTGTTTATTAAAAGACATTATTTTTTTTGCTGCTAAGGATTGATGTTTTCGAGTTTTCGTAAGTATTACATTATTATGTTAGATATGCCGATAATTTGGGTCTATAATAAGGTATTCTTATTTGATATTTAAAATCTACGAAATTAACTACTACTCTTATTATTGCTTATTAATGCAACTTCTTTCGTTAGTTTCGTCTTGAAAAAATAGTTTAACATTAGCAATTAAGTTAAATAATCTAATAAAAATAAGGTTACATACAAACAATATTAATTAATGAAGACATTACTATAGTAAATGTGTCGTGTCAATAAAAGTCAATAAGTCTGTCCTCGGTTTAAAGGATTATGTTAATTCTCTTGTTTGTGCATTGTTTATACATGAATGTTAAGGTTATAATCGACTTCAAGATGTTTGGTGAATTTTATAATTTTATATGCATTTTTAATTTTAAGTTCCATTATTTTATAGTAGTATTTTCATTTTAAATGTCAAATTATATAGAGCCAAATTTAAAACAGTATTTATTGATTTATTTATTAAGGAAACTAAAAAGATACATATACAGTAAAAATAAAAGTAAAAAATAAAATAAACACATTGGACATATTCACAAAAAGTTTCACATAAAAAATACATTACAAAGTAAAACTAGACAGAAGAACTAGCAGCTATAAAAAACACAAGGAAGATACAAGGCTTAAGACATTAAGAGTTTGAACTTATTCTTAAATAAAGCAGTAGAGGAGTGCGAAAAAGGGTCAATGTTAGTGGCAGAATCCAACGTAGAACACATCCTGTGGAACGGCTCACGGAACCCAATGTTAACCCTATATAGGTACATGACCAGATTGAATGTTTTGTCCTTATGATTCCCGTGTATATATCATTTACGAAAACGGGACGAAACATTTTGTCTTCGTCTTCGTTTCATATGACTAATTTACAGTAAATATATGATGTATATTAACGTATTATTTCAGACGAAGCGGACCGTTCACCACAAGCCGTGATGTGGTCATCCGTTGCCCGGAGACGGACCGACCTGGTCCCAACGGTGCCAGCGCCACGTGCCCCAGGTAGAGCCTACTCCATGACGCGGCTGGACAAATTGGCCACCCGGCCCTTACACTCCGCGTCGCCATCCATGCACCATCTCAACAGGAGCCGTATGTACTCGACTGGCTTCCGCTGTGGCTAACTGGTTTTGTTGAGCTAAATGCTTCTCTGGGTGATCTGGTTTTGTAAGCTTAATGCTTGGTCTGTCTAAAATTTAAGGACTGCTTCAAAGTTCCTTTTATACTCCGTATATTCTGTCATACGCTGTGTTAGGTTCTTTGAGGCAAATGCTTCTCTGGGTGACCCGGTTTTGTAAGTTTGAATCTTATCTTGACTCCACTGGCAGATTTTAGGCAAGCTAAAAGTCCTATAAACAACTATACAAGAGTCGTAATCTCTACTAAAACTAGGACTGCTTTCTTTTTGATTAAATGTTTTGATTGGGTAATATGGTTCGTCTTGTTAAAACGTAGAGCCCTTTCCAAGTCGAAATTTCTTTAATATTATTCACTTATTCTATCACCACCATAATCTCTTAGTTTTGCACATATGTTTGTGTGGTTAGTAGGTAATAGGCACAATGCTATCCATGGAGCTGGTAAGCGCTGGGCCTGATTGGTTCTCATGTCTTTTTCACAAATGTATATCTTATTTCATGTGTTTGATTGTCCTTATTTTAACATGTCGTGATGTTTGAGAGCGAAAATAAAATTAAATATGCTAACTTTAATGTTTCATAAGTGTAATTTGTCGAGGGTTTAGTGGCTTTGAGATCATTTCTTTTTTAAAAAAAAACATCTTGGTTTTGTCTTTTTTTTCCCCCCCCCCCCCCCATTTAAAAAAAAAACTGTTTGACCGGATTGAAGTTATGTATTATTGGAAATTACAACTATGTAAGATAATTTTAGATTTATCCGACTTTTCGGCTTTCAGCGTGCGTGGTCACGGTGACTGAAGACCCGGTCAAACAGTTTTTTTTTTTTAAACATTTTGTTGTATAATGATTACAAAGGTATTGTGTGTGATATAGTTATACGATTGTAATTCGCTTTTTGCTAAAACGTGTGGTGACTTTTCGCTTATATATTCCCAGTATTAAACCGCGTGTGCGACTTTAGTGTGGCCTTTTACAAGCTTGCGACCACAAAACAAATTTCCCTAAAGTTTATTGAGTGTGTTCGGTTTTGATAGTATTTTTCTTCCGACGTTCAGGAGTTCAGGGCCGTTTCGTAGGCACAACATTGAAGGACAGATAACGCTCCACTAATCTTTGTATATTTGTCAATAATGCTTCTGCGATTGGGACGCTTCACATAGCTTTAAAGAAATGGTTTTGGTCTCTTGAATTTCTCTGGCATTTCAAGAACTTAAGGTATGTGTTCATTTAATTTAAATGTTACGTAAAGCTTAAATATGACAAATTAAGTACTAAAAAAATTACTATGGCTTTTGTAGCGAGACAAAAATATTTTTCAAAATAATGTAGTTTCTCATTCCATTGTTTATTGTTTTACACATTGTCAGCTTATAATTATTTAAACTAAATCAGTACTGAATTTAATTCATTATTAATTAAAATACTATGTATATATCAATAATTCTATAATTTTTATAAATTTAATAAGCTTTACGTAATGTAACCTCATCAAAGGGTCTAACAAATTTCTCATTTAACATTGCACATCATATTCCTCAATACATCACAAGGAAATAACAGTAATGTATAACTTTATTGTAAAATTATAATTATTATTTTTGTGTTATACTTATATTATAACTATAGCTATATTTAATTTTTTAAAACACCAACGAGGAGGTTTTAATTTAGACGTATTAGAATTGTTTTATCTCGTATAGACATACCGTCCGTGGACCAATTTATCAATACTATTCCATAGGTAATATGGTAATTGAATTTAAAATTTATTTTAAGTGTGATTTTTCGCGTGTATAGCTTTGCTAGATGTAGATAGCTGCAAAAAGTTATTAAATTCATAATTGTCTTGTAAAATATTCTTTTCATTAAACAAAATTAACGATTTTTATAGAAAACTTATTCAAGATGGACGTTTATTGTTTATTTTAATGAGTTGCATTCATAGAGTTAGATTCAAATATGATATTTAGCGTTAATCTGACGCCCGTACGTCAAATTATATTGTATTTAAACATATGTATATTAAATATAATAATAATAATAAATACGTAAAATTTAACGATATATTTCCAAGTAGTTTAAATTGGTGTCAATTGAATTATAATGACAAATTTTTTTTCCGTATTCGTTGAAACTACTAATACTCCAGCTTTTGATCCTTAATTAGGCCATTTCCGATTCCAGAGACGCGCTCAGGCGAAACGACCCCGGGTTCTCGTCCCGGAAGTGCAATGTCGAACGCGACGGGCGTGGTACGGAGGGCGAACTCCGCTCCGCGGAAACCACGCCCTGCCTCTATCGCCGGCACCGGGTGTAATACACCCAGAGGTAATATTGTATTATATTTTCGAAATCTATTTAGTGCATAATTTTTAAAAGAAAATTATATCTTAATAATCTCTTTTGTATTTAAAACAAAAAATGCACTTCCCGAACTTCAGTAGTAATAGTAGTAGTAGAAAATGATCATAATTAAAAAAGCTACTTTTTACCAAGTTATCAAAGTTAATGGGTAAATACGTATCAAAATAATACTTTTAGCTTACGTCGCTAACACCTATCTAGTAGTAAAACGTAGTAGTGTGAACGTGTAGTAGTAGTGATATATGTAAAACTATTGTGTTTGTCTATGCATAACCTAATGAAAATTAATAATCTGTGGAGAGCATTTGTAGTCCTAATAGTTAAACATATATATTAAATGGCTAAAATAATTGTTTCTTGTTTAAAAACCCAGTCATCTGCTGGTACTGAAAGTAAAGAATCGATTACAGGTGAAACAGGTGGTATCAGCGCTACTTCTACTCCGGCAGTATCCCGCGATGGATCAACAGTAGCGCGGCCAGCGACTACTCCGCGACGGCCCAGACCTTTATCATTGCACGTTTCGTCTAAACCTGGTAAGTAACTCTGTTTATTTAACTTTAAATGAATTCGTTATTTACCTTAAGGAAGGGTTAACCCTATCCTAGTCAAAACAAATAAATAAGCCGGCATCGGCAATACTACTCTGTAAAACTAAGGGCAAGATCTATAGAGCGCACTTAGACTTTGCTCAGACTTAACTTTCGAGTTAAGTCACAGTCGGTATTTATAGAGCAAACTGCGAATCTCTCCGAGTGCTAGCTTAGCTTAATCTCAAGTCCACAAAATCGCCAAAAATAATGGCCTTTACCATCATATCTTTTACTTGACTTTTTATTTTTGTCGGTTTTTAATTAACGGTGATGCCATCTTATACTAGAGTTCCATAGACTTTGGTAAAAATAGGATTTAAATCCAAAGAAATGATAAATGATCTTAATAAATAGCTATGAAATACATGAAATAAAATAATTACACATTTATTATGGTATTTATTATTTGTATAAGTGTTCAAACCCCATTTTTGAGAGATCTTAAAAATAACCAATAAATAGAAGATAGATGGGTTCCGTTTTAGACGTTTAAATATTTGTTATTGTTATACTTATTTAAAGGATAATAAAGAAGGTATTCCATTAAATGAAACATCAATTTGTATTTTGTCATTTTCTGTCTTAGCTTGTGCTTAGCTTAATCTCACCGTTAAAATGTCTATAAATACTAAATCATAGTTTATGCTTAGTGTACACTAAGCAAAGTTTTTCGTAAGTAAAGTTTGAGCTAATTCTAAGTGCGCTCTATAGATCTTGCCCTAAGTTTCTCTTACAAAAACCGTTTCATTTAATACATCCATACAAAACCTTAAATTTTACGCAATTTCGATAATAATCAGTATAAGCCTGCAGATGTATTTGTGTATGTCTACATAGCTTAATAATGCCCATCTATATTATATTAGAAAGCTGAAAGTATGTTTGTATGTTAATGTAAAAATCTCTTCAATTTCTTGAGGAATTATGCGGGGTGTAACCGCGGGGTATGTCTAGTAATGAAAATAAAATATGCAGAAGCTTACATGTATGACTTTATTTCAGTGACCCCGCTAGGACCCGGTGAGGGTAAACCGCCAATGCATAGGAAGCCAAAGCCATCCAAAGATCAAGATAAGGTGAGTTTTTAGCACTAAACTATTTTTTTAGTGTTTTTTTGTTAGTTATTTTTTTTTTAGTCTTTAGTGACCTGGATTTTAATTTTTGTTTTCTGGTCAAATTAATTTATAATTAAATCTACTCGTGATTTGGCGGCATAAGGCGCCATCGATTTTACAGAGCCATGGTGATATTAATAACAAAGGGTTTAATTTTTAACTAAACGAAAAAAAAAAAAGTGAATATTGTAGTTTTTTGATATTTATTTGTGATTAAAGTTTTATATATACTTTCTAAATGTATGTGGTATGTAATTGTTATATGTTACACAAAACAAGTATTATTCAATTTAACAGAACTTTCAATTTCAAAATTTGAAAGAACTAGAAATTGAGTACAAATAATATTTAATTAATTAGAAGCTACAATATTGGTGCAAAAATAAAATTATTTAATATGTGTGGTAATTCCAGAGTCGCGGTAAATCCCAGTCGGCGTCTCCGGGTCGTCCCTTGTCTCCATCGCCCGCACACACCAAAGAGACCAGTGTCGACAAGGAAATGTCTAAGGTATATTCTCTTCTATAACAAAAAAACAATAACCACTCAATAATTAAATTAACAAAAAAATGTGATCAGAGTCACAGATAAGAACTTCAGTAAAAAAAAATTCTAGGCCATGTGTCAGGCACTGAAGGCAGACCACGAAATATAATACAGAAGAGAACAAGAAATCTTAAGTCAAAGCGTAGGGTTTTTTATTGTTATCACTTTAAATTTTTTTGATATTTTAGCATAATGATATTTAACTAAAGCTCACCAATCATTTATTAAATTTGTATATTACAACGTAGGGAACAGTTAAAGTTTTATCAAAATCGCTTCATGCATGCATTGCAATTTGTGGATATGTATATTCAAATATTTTTACTTTTATTCTCATTCCAGTCGATAACGTCAGAGCGACCAGTGGACCCCCAACAGGTGACGCAGAAACTAGAGGCATTGCAGGTGTACGACGAGCCGAAACACGTGAGTATATATTTAATAAGAATATCAAATAAAACTCCTTTAAATTACATGTATCGAAATTATATTCATATTATTAGGTCCTTACATATGAAATTGGCGTTTTGTATGGGAGGAACAAAAAGTCGAATATTTTTAAATATAATATATTTAATTAATCAAAGTATGAACCATTGTTTTCTATGCACTTTTGCAATCTCATAGGTAGTTCATTGATCCCTTTACTAACAAACCAGTCGGACGGGAATTAAATTTTTTCCCTTGCAAGAAGTTTCGAAAAAAATGGTAATCTGTTGGAGCAAGGTCCGGGGAGTACAGAGGATGTCTTAGACATTCCAATTGAAGCTCTTCTAATTTGGTAGCCGTCTGTTGTGCAGTGTGTGGTCTAGCGTTGTCGTGAAGTAGCAGTGGCGTGGAGCGATTGACCAGCCTAGGTTGTTTAGCCGCTAGCTTTTCCATCATGGTTTGCAATTGCTGACAATAGACATCAGCCGTAATGGTCTGGCCAGATTTGAGAAAACTGCAATGAACAATACCGGCACTAGTCCACCAAACGCTTACACGTAACTTTTTTGGGGTTAATTTTCGCTTGGGGCAGGATTTGGCTGGCTGGCCAGGATCCAACCATTGCGCTGAGTGCTTCCGATTATCGTAAAGAATCCATTTTTCATCACAGGTAATGATTCGGTTTAAAATACCTTCATTATTGTGCCGGTTCAGTAATGTAACGCAGCAGTCGACGCGCGTTTGCCGGTTTGCTTCAGTCAATTCGTGAGGTACCCATCTTTCAAGCTTTTTAATCTTCCCGATTTGCTTCAAGTGAATTAAAACAGTTTTATCACTAACACCGCAGCCTGCAGCTAATTCGGACGTGGTTTGCGATGGATCCGCTTCCACAATATCCTTCAATACTTCATTATCAACTTGGGTCTCAGGCCGTCCACGGGGCTTGTTGTGCAGGTCGAAATTTCCAGAACGAAAACCTTGGAACCAAACACGAACTGTGTTTTCTTTTGCAACATGACCGCCATACACATCATTCACCCTTCGAGTCGTTTCCGCAGCACTAGTGCCACGGCGGAACTCGTACTCGTAAATAATGCGATACTTTAAGTTTTCCATTTTGTAAAATGAGTGACGCAAACAGAAAAAAACAAATGAATGACGGTCATCGAAGCACAAATACATGAGTAAATAGTAATTCCAAATTCAAATAATGACAAACAAATTTGTAATGGTAGCTGTACAAATTTGCATTTGGAATTCCTTACCAAAGAGGAGAACATCGTGATTAAAGTGGCCAGTACGAAATACGCCAATTTCATATGTAAGGACCTAATATTATATCTCTTAAGTCGTTTTGCATAAAGTACAATTCTTTTATGGAAGGCTTTATATTATATTATAATATTACGTGCTCAAATGTCGGTTTTTAGGTTTTATTATGATTGTAATATTAATAAATAATGTATTTTATATACAGTTTCCATGTTATTTTAACATAGCTCATGCTATGTACCGCTTTCATGGTAAACATAGACTTATTATGTGCTAATTTTTAAATTATAAACAATGCATTGGTACTTTTCACAAATAATTCTTTAAACTATTACCGTTTTCTTTTGTTCTTTTAAAATGTTTAAGTTGTGTATAATCACATTACAGATAATAATCGATAATAAAGAAAATATAGAAACAAATATAGAAACGAATGTACGGAACGTAGAACAGACAACAGAAGTCAAGATCGAAGTTCAAAAACCAGTGGAAACAGAAGATGTGCAGAAGATTGTACAGAAAGAATCACAGAAAAAAATTGAGCCGAAGAAGGAATCTTCTGTTGAAAAGAACGACGAGAACGAAATGACAGGTATAAAAGATATATATTATTTTTATCTTTTTTATTTATATGTTTTTTTTAAGGTTTTAAAATTGACATGGCGAATTAAGATATCTACGAAAGAATTTTTTTTGAGTTAATTTATAACACCCATTAAAATGAATTTATTGAAATAAATGAATCAATTTATATATTAAATATAATTATATACAATTTCTAGTCCAAATTATTTTAAATGTCTTAAACTCCTGTTTTAAACTGTTTATCGATTTCTGGGAAAATAATAGACAACCAAGTAACAATATTTGAGGTTTTCTAGAATTCTATAGAATATTTTGAAATTTCCGATTACTATAATAAATATATGGTTTCAGCGTCAATGATATCTCGTCGTATAACGACTGAAGGGGAGGCCAAAGCCGCTCTCGCAGAGAGACGGAGGCGTGCTAGGGAGGAGCTTGAAAGGCAAGCGGAGTTGGAGAGGGTCAGGTATGTTTGTGGCCTTTGAATTAAGTCTACATAATGCTATGAGTCATGGACATTGGTCATATTATCGTTTAACCGTTTACTCCATTTTCAAATATAAAGAAAAGGCAATAATGTGCCTTATTAAACATTTAAAACACATGATATAATACATAATTTTTAAACTGACCAACATCAGTTAATATTTCGATATAATGACTGTCTCAGTAACAAACCGCGTACTAACAAAAAGTGTGTGAATTTGTCGGTTAAGAAAAGCATTTTTTCGACGCGTATATTCAAAATAATTCAAATTGTGTAAACTAATAATACCGACTGAGATTCTATATGTAACCAATAAATTTGAAGTACTTGATAGGTAGGTGATTTCGATTGTTAATCCATACACTTGAATAACAAGCAAATCGTTATATTAATATAAATTATAATTATTGTCGAAACTATTCATTGGAAACATTTTTTTTCTGGAAAGTAAAATTTTCATCAATGTCATAAAGATCCGTTTACGTAAATTTGATAGACTGCAACGTGAAGCCGAAGAAGAAGAAGAGCGACAACGTCAAGAGGAAGAAAGACAACGTCGTGAAGAAGAGGAAGCTAGGGAACTGGCTGCGCTGCAGAGAAGAATGGAAGATGAGAAACTTAAGAAGGCTATAGAGGTCGGTTTACGTGTATTAGTAAAAACCATTTGTGTATCCGTTTTGTAGTATTTTAAATGCGAACATAGAAACATACGGGCACAGCCGTGATTCGAAAACACGACTTCAGGTTTGAGAGTTCAAGTTCCCAACACTGGCTTTCAAAAACGCTTACTCAAAAATATTACAAAGCTCAAATAGCGATTGGACTGGCTTTTACCACATTTTTTTTAACTCATTGAAACTTTTGGTCTAGTTATGAACAAAAGGCAAAATATTACTTTATTTATTCGCCTTAGTATCAGACTTAAGTAATGTTTCGTTTTCAGGCACAACAACAACTAGAACGTGATGAAGCCGAAAGAAAGGTTCGCGAGGAGGTAGAGAAACAGGCGAGGCTTCGCGAAGAAGAAGAAAAGAAACGAGCAGCAGAAGAGGCGGAAAAAAGCCGTAAAGAAGAACTTGAAAGAGAGGAGAAAGAAAGGCTCGCACGGAAACAGAGAGTTGAAGCTATTATGGCGAGAACTAGGCTTAAGAAGGTACGATGACTAGAAAATGTAAAAAAACTTAGTCCTTCAAAATTAGTGTAACAATTCTTAAAACGGCAACGTACTTACGAGCCTCCTGCCCATTTGTCCCCTGTTATACAAAAAAATAAACCTGATAACGTAGACATTACAAAAGGGTAGACCCTTTTGTAATGTATGTGTTACTAGAATTGATGATATAGCTCTTAATTTTATTATTGATCTTATTTTTTTAACTAACGGGAGTATACCTACCTAAAGCTCGACCCTAAATCTCATCCAAATATATTGCTTAAAATTTACAGCAAGCGGAAGAAGATAAAAAGAAACAAGAACAAGATAAAGCGCCAGTTAACCAAAGCGCTGAAACACAAAATCAGATTTCTGCACAACCGCCAGTCCCAAAGATAGAACAAGTGGCTCAAGACACGACACATTCTAAATCCGTACAAGACAAACCATTGGATAGTGCTAATGTAACGACAGCTACGGAAAGTGTAAATGTAACAACGAATGCTACAGAAAGTGTAAATGTAACAACGAATGCTACAGAAAGTGTAAATGTAACAACAGTTACAGAAAGTGTTAACGTGTCAGAACCTGATACAATTAAAGTGGGAGTTCCCATAATTTCTGAATTAATCAATGTAGCAGAACCGATTTTGGACCTTAATGTATCGGATTCAAAAGTTTCCGAAATTGTAAATTCACCAAATGTGGTAGACAGTTTAAATGAATTAGCTAAGGATAGCGCAAAGGAAGTTACAGATAACGGAAATGTACAAACTGAAGATTTATTGTCGCTCGCTACTAGTCAGGTAATTATTATATTATCTTCAATTTTTTTTTTCCTACAAAGTTCACATGCGACTTTACATGAATTACAATCTATCCTATACAATAATTGTGGCTAATAAGTTGTATTATGTTGACTTAATTTTCTATAATACTAATTAAAAGCTTAAACTAAGGTAATGTTCACACATAACAGTCTTAGTGTTCTAAAATGTTTTGACACAATGTTCGTGTGTCCGATATACCGCACTTGCACTACACTAGTTTTATTAACTCAACAATATGATTTAACTTTAACTTAATCATACCATTCTAAAAACATATATGAATATATTTTTTAACTAATTTGTTTCGTCACATTTGGTTTAAAAATCTAAAAAAACTCAGATAAAAGTGATCTTTTCTCTGATCACTTGAATTTTTTTGCTAGAATCGTAAAACATGTTAAAATATAAATTCAAATATTTAACAAATTTTAAACATTTAAAAATGTCAAATTTACCAAAAATCAAATCTAAACTTTTTTCTTTGTATTTTCAGCCGGAAGGTAAGTCGGAGAGCTGGCAGCCTCACAACGGGAATATCGCACCCCTCGCCCCTCTCGCTCGCACCGATAACAAACTTGTGAGTAAATGTTCACTATAATAATTATTTTCTTGCATTTAACACCACAAGGATAATCCTAAGTTATGGTATACCTCCAAACCGGAATATCTCGCTGGCATCCAAATTAATATACGAATATAGTTTGGACAAGAAAAAAATTTAAACAAAATTATCCGAGAATCATATAAAAATATTTACGCTAACTACCTCAAAATTACTAATTAATCCATATCAGTCTAAATATTTAGTCTCTTTCGGACAAATTGTGTTAAGGCTGTTGTAATGAAGCTAGACAGTATTCACAAATTGAGGTGATTTCATCTTAGAAGAAATAATGAAATATCAGCCCTTATATGTCTTAATATATGTTGGAATATTACATTTATTAATTTCAGAGTCAGGAGTCCTCTGGCGAGCATTCCAGCAAAATGGACAACGCTAACGTCGAGACCAACAATGGCAACGTGACAAACGTGGGCCACATATCCGCTAACTTCCTCCACTCGGAGAGAATGTCCGAACACAACCAGAAGGAGGAATTTACGACGCACAACGGGCACGGAATCAGCCACCCGTTGACCTTGCAAAACGCGATCTAAGGGAATTAGGGGTCGGGTATGCGTATTGGCTAGCTTTGGTCAGCGTTGGCCGACGTCGGAGCAAATGTTCGGGAGTTATCAATTTGCGGAGCAGATTTTGATAATTTAAGAAAAAAATCTTTGTTTCGATCCATGAATTGTGTTGTCGATGTTGCCCTTATTTTACGGTGCCTTTGTTTCTGGTGCTGTGTGAATTGAAATTTAATTCTAGCCGATATGTATACGTCGACGGAATGGCTAGCGGCAAATTTGCGCCTCTTGTAATATTCAATGTAATTATTGCATTTATGGAAATCCAAGATTTAAAACATTGCTATTGCTAAGCGAATAATCACAGCTTGACGTTCCTCGTTTAGAAAATTTTAAAAGTATTTTCATATCGGAACATAGGTCCTTAGGAATTTTATGGTAATATGTCATCATACATTTTGGATTTATTCGGATAGGTTGTGTATAGAACAGCTGTGCTCACAGCGTATACAATAATTATAAGTTTTTATTTATTGTGATTTTTTTATTAAAGTAATAATCAAATTTGGTTCGGTAGATGCTGCTTAGATGGTTTGAAATATTCAATTTCTATTCTGTTACTAAAGACGCTATCTACGCGAGAAGGGTGGCATTAGCCCGATGTTTAAGTGCGAGCGAGATAGACGTACTCTTAAAGCTCCTTTTCGTTTGCGTGAAATTGCACCTATATTGGGATTACACTTAGGTATTTTCCTAAAAGTTTTTAGTATTTTAAATTTATTGAGCTCTTTCACCTTTCAAATGTCTTACTTCCCCGGTTTGATTCCTAAATATTACGACAGTTCAAATATACTTTATTGAATGCTAAAACGGCTAAACATAGGTAGTTGAGTTTTTAAGAAATTTGAAAGGCGGATTAATGAGATGCGAGACGCTGATTTGTTAACTATTAAGTAATTGCATAAACAATTTTGTATAATAAGTAGTTAGCGTTCTATAAAATTTAATCAATTCTTTTGTTTCATACAATGTTCCCTTTTTAAGACTAATTTGCGCTTTATATCTGATTTGTCACTAGGCAATTTGACAGGTGGCAAAATAAACGCCCAAAAACTTGGATACTTTTAAAATATTATGTATTAGTAGCGATAAATTGTAATAACTATTAACCAACATAATCTACACTCTATGTGTAATTTCGATTTTCATTTTGTCTATGATGTGTTAAGTATCGAATTTTCCAAGTTATGGTATTATCTATGAAATATTAATGTATCATAGACAGTCTGCTTGTAAAATTTGCCAAGCGTCCATTTTTACGGTTTCCCTAAATAATCATGTAGTATACAAAAATGGCCTTATCATTTTTATTAGCGACGTTATGTGTTTGTCAAACCGCCATTTTGTTTAAATTTTTTTTAAAGGAGATAGGGAACAGCAATGAATGCTAGAAGTAATTAATTTTATGTCAGTGACAGATGTCAAATTGTGAATAAAATTTACAAGCAATTATATGATTATTTTAGGGAAATGGGTAAATTTAATTGCATTTTGTAAAGAATTCCTTATAATAAATAGATCAAAATGGCGGTTAGACATAGGGCAACGAAGGTTGTTGGAATAATGTATTTATCACGCAAGACACGGCTTCTGTACATGTTCATCTATATTATGTTAGCAATCGATGGATTTATAAGAAGAAAAGATTTAATAAAAAATATTTAAAAATTTCAAGCGTTTTATTTTGTTGTTTTTTAAAGATATCCATAGACAGCGTTATGGTTTTGTAATTATTGGTTGAGCCTAAGATAGTACGATTTTTTTTAATGCAGAAATTGATGTGATGGTGAAATACTTATTGGTCTCAAGTGTCGACATTTATTACAATATTATATTACTTAAAAACAAACTACTAGAACTTAAAATTAACCGCAATTATCAAACAATTGTCTGTTTAATCGATCATTATTAAATCAATGATACGTCGTGATCAGCCTCCTAACAATTATCGTTTCGCCGTAAATTGAAACAAGAACCATAGTTCGTAATATGTACTTGTACGAGCCAAGGCTGTACATTTTGCTCTCAGGCTTTCTTAGTTTTATAGGCGTGGCGATTACTTAAACTGTCCGAGTTACGCCCAAAGAGTATAGCCAGACGTAGGCTTATATTTTATTGATGTACGCGAGTGGTTAATATAGAGTAAAAATAAAATCCTCTATTATTTATAGCACCCCGATGACCCAGCAACCGTACAGTATAGTTAACTACTATAACAAGTATGAATGACAAAGTAACGATAGCGTAGAGAACAACGAATATATGTTGAATATAATTTATAGTACCTACTGAGCGCATTTACTATACATTTATTAAAAATTACTATTTTACGTTAATTTTTTGTCAGACTCATGGTAGAACTACTGTTTCGCGCCCTCTAGATACTAACTCTTGATATTGAGGATAAAATTAAATGAAACAATTCTGAAATTGACAACTGCATTTATTTCAAGTGATTACAATTACCATTTTGCCAGCCTTTGCAAAATGTATTCATAACATAATTTAACATATACACGAGAAAATATGAGCAAAATACGTTTAAACTGACAAATCATAACGTAGTAATACATTTAGTATCGAAAGGAAATTTTAATTTTATCAAGAAAGCATAAACTCTACAAAATAACTACATTTTATTTTACAATAGTCGAAGATTTTTATGTAAGTATGTACTAGACATCATATTATGTAGTACTAAAATTTGCAATCAAGTTTACAAATAGTTTTCCTCAACATTTGGTAGAGAATTATCTGTAAACAGAGCGCCTTTATTTTCTAGTAAAATACAAGTCATTGATGTTAAATAACAATTCAATATTTTTCTTATAAATAAGTAAGAAATAAATTACATTGTACACTAATTTCTAGAAGTCCGATTTGTCAACGCTAGAATAAGCCTATTATAATAATTGGCAAGAGCGTAGCTTAAAAATAGGATATGTGATAATATTTCTAGTCCATTCACTTAGTTCGGTACCAGCTCGCCTTGGGAGTCTGCAACAATAAAATATTTCAGGCAACTTAGAAAATGTTAATTACTTTTATCAAACTAGCTGTGCTCGGTTCCACCGGCATTAATTCGGTAAAACGTGCAATACAGCCTAAAGCTTTTCTCGGTAAATAAAATTGTACAGGATAGGAATTGCAAAACATTTTTTGTTTTTATACATGTTATCGCGGACTTTTTTTAAATATTGATGTCTTTTATAGAAGACTGACTGACTGACTGAGACTGTAGTTGCTCTTGCTCTGTTGTCAAAATTTTCCGCATCGTATGCGATATATGAATGTTTATTGGTCTTTTTCACACATTAGGTTATGCTATTGTTATTTCATACAGACCCTAACTTTTTTGAAAATATTCTATAGCCTATGTTCATTAAGGATAGCGTAGGGTTCTAATGGTGAAAGGTTATAATCGGTCCGCTAGTTTCGGAGCCCATTTAATGCAAACAAACATACTATTTTATACTGCCTTAATAAGAGACAGACATATGATATTAATCATCAGAATTAAAAAAAGTAATACAAAAAATCATCTACAGTTAGAATGTTTACATCGTTAATTATCGCTTTCGGGATATTGCATATACATACCGTCATTAAGCCATTTCTTGCCGCGCATTCCCAAAAAGCCAGTCTGTGCCTTTCTCTTCGGCCAAGGGCCGTCAAGCAAAAACTTAATCTCCTTCGGGCCAGCATATTTCACGTCTTTCTTTCCGCGCACACCAATAAAACCACGAGGTCTATTCTCTCTCTTTTGCATGAATCGCTTTCCCCGAACTCCGTAAAAGGCACGCTTGTCCACCTCACTTGAGTCGTTTTCTTGAATCTGGAGTCTTTGTAAATAATCGTTTATCGCTTCATTAATTTCTTCGTCTTGTGTTAGATGTTCAATGTCGTAATCCTTTTTTCCTCGCATTCCAACAAAGCCCATGGGTGCCCTTTTGTATTGCCAAAAGTCTGGATACTCGAAGCCCCGTTTTCCCTTAACGCCGACAAAGAAATTCGGTCGTCGTTTAAACATCTCTGAGTCTCGGGCGTCCATGTATTTCTTGCCTCGCATACCGAAGAATCCATGAGGCACCCTCTTCACAACTTCTTGCGCCGTCAACGCGTGGACCAGAGGAATGATAACAATTAAAACGTATGTCCGATACGATGCCATGTTGTATCTGCAACAATTATATTTTATTATTAACTTTAAAACGCAACAATGGTCATAAAACATACTCATACTACGATTACGTTATATGAGTATATTTATATTATAAACTAATTTTACAATTTCAATTTTACAATGAGCCGCTAAGGAGTATTACGAAACAGCTTTTTTGTAAAAAAATAAAAGTGGTATTGATTGTAGACTATTTCTAAAGTATGATCGTATATAATATCACTATTACCTTACATTTCAGAGCATAATATTTTAATTAGAATAGTTTAATATTTTACTTGAGTGGTTATTAAAATACGGGAAGCTTTACACACGTAGGTAGTATATTTTAAACTGTACATTAATATTTTGTATAATTTTAAATGATTTTCTTGTCTATTTTTGACCAATTTTTGAATTTTAAATATACTTATCATCTCTTTTCTCCTCTAGATTTCTTATACTATCGCAATAATAATAATCTATTCTTACTATTTAGGTTTTTTACTTCGTGTAATATATACTGAATCAACATTATGCCATAGTACATTGTAACTGCTCCCTAAAGCCTTCACATGACAAACACGACAGTACACCAACAAATATTGTCCAAGTTAATTATTATCGTCCCTACAATTTATGTGTCTAATACGTGTAAGTTTTTATTACAAACGAAGACACGACTTACATAATGAAATCGTCAACTTCTATCCGAAACATAATGAAAACCTTTCACCATATTCATCAGTCACAATAATGATCATAAAAATTGGATATAAAAAAAAGTTTTGTTTAATTTATTTTTGCAGTTAAATTTAATAAATTTTAGACCACCATTAAATTTAATAAAGTTTGCGACTTCAAAAGTATTTATTATTTGTATTGATAAGCCTTATAACAACAGAAAGTTAAAAGTTAATTGGTTTATAATATACAATATATATAATGAACATATTAAGCATATTATTTTTGGAGCCAGATTTTACTATATAAAGGAGTATACAACTCTAATCAATATGCTAAAAATTGTAACTGAGTACGGCTGAATCTGGAAATGGAAATATGTTAAACATAATAAATTTAGGGTTAATTTTGAAATACAACAATTTGGTTAGGTCACATGCATAATGCGACATAGAAAATCACTATACAAAAAGCTAAAATATAATTCCTTCTCTTATCATTCACATAACAAAGAACTGCTAATAAGTTGTCAACACGCGTTAAAAGTGGTGGCTAGCCGTTTTGCGATAGTGCGAAATTTACTCCGAATCTGCACCCGCCATTACAAGCTAAGTGCTCTCACGATATATTGCATTTCATTCCACGTCGTTTGCAATTGTTTCTTTTTTAAAAACAACGCTGGAAATACGCTTTTAGTTTTCCCATATTCGGTTTTGCAAAGAGGCTTTTGTTCTTATTCTTGAAAAACAAAGTTGTTTCATATTGTTAAAAGTTAACCCTTGCTTCGTTATTAATAAGCCCAGAGGTAACGAACGATTTGTTAAATCAAATTACTATCGTAACAATTGATTTAACTGATTTATTATTTAAAATGAATGAAAATTTAAATATACTAAAATGTTAAATGATTTAATTATTCTACCATAGCTCAGGTTTTCAAGTAGTTTATTTAACTACGTATTATATGTGTATAATAAAGTGTAAATACGAAACAATATTTAGAGTTTGCACAAAAACCTACTGAATCTTTTATATTCTAGTTTCTAGCAAGAATAGTAGTCCATTATTTGAAATCATAAATTTTATAGAGCTCTTCAACTTTATAAACTTTTTAAAAGTTGGATTAAATGCACTTAGTCTAATTCGTATTCGCTGCTTGTCCGCGAAATTATAAAATATACAAGAGCTTAACTGTCGAGAATATTTTAATGTGGCAACAATTAAATTTAACAATTAATTAGTCCTTATACGGACTTCGTAAAACCCTAATGAAGTTAAGAATCCGTAACGGTTTTTTCTTACAATAATACTTGTGACAGTGTAAAGGTATTGAAAATTTTGAAAGCCTATGGTATATATTCCGAAGTATGTATAAATGTTAATTACATGTTTCTATATATTAGTGATGGAATGTTTAACTTATAATAAAAACCTCAATTCAATTGTAGCAAGCTCTATATGTAAATCTCAACAAAGTTTTAAATAGAAAAGTTATGATGTAAAACGAGCACAAAGCGCTCTCTGATATTAGGGTTAATGAATAAGCTATTATCTTCAAATTATGTTAGGAACTATACCTCGAACGTTTCTTAATAAATATATGAAAATGTTTTATTAATATTTTTATATTTATGTTTTTGACATACATAATATGCCTATTATTTCATATATTAATGTAACCAATTCTTAGCATGTTCTTTGCGTTGCAGTAACACATTTTTAATAATAATATATGTCACTGTAAAAGAATTGTTAAAATCGCTTCAGGCGTAGGCAGATCTAACAAAAACCTTAGCAGCTTCATAACTTAACATCTTTTTTCGATATTAAGGGTCTGTTTCACAATGTATGGATAAAGTACCAAATAGCTATGCAACACATAAATTATTTGGAAGATAAATTGTTCTATTTGACATTCATCGGACTCATAACTTTTGATGGACTTTATGTGACGAATAGCGCTGACAGTCGTGAAACGCAACAATAGTGTTTATCTTAAATAAGTAATAAATAGCTAATTTGGAACTTATGTGGAACTTATCCGTACATTGTGAAACATACCCTTATTCTTCTTATATAATAAACATTATTGAAGTGCTACCTACATTATGGATAATATACATTACCTTTGTGTCCTCTAACTAACAAATTTACTAGTCCATCTATATAGAATCTAAGGATCAAATCCTATGGGATTCATTATTAGTTTCCATCGGAAAGCCACTATCCTAAATTATAGAATAAAACAAGCGACATGTCATAGAAAATATAAGAAAAAAGTGTCCCCTTACTTTAAATGGGGCAAAGGCGATTGGATTTAATTTTTGTGTTCATTAAGCGACCAGCCTTCTTGCCAATATAGCATACTATTTCACCGGATATGGTGTAAAATTCAGCAATTGAAAATTCGTATTTTTTTACATTTTTTATAGCAGCTTGGTGATCAGTCTGATGGGACACCCAAACAATTATTTTTTTACCGGTAACAACTCCAAAATAAGATACGAATTTTTGATCTAAGCCAAGGATAAAAAAACACTCAAAGTAAACACTACGTATGTCAATTATTTTTTCACAACGTCCTTAAAAAATATTGTCTGCGATAATTAGGATAAAAATTTCGTTTGTATTTAACGTTTGTAGTTATTCTTTTATAACAATGAAGAAGAAAATTTAAAACAAAGAGATCCATCTCGGGAGTAACCAGAAACATTTTATGTATTAATTATTAAGCCATGAAATATTGATAGTAGACATAAAGAACAATTTTTAAGGACCTTTTTGCGAAGTATTTTTCTTTTATAGTCAGATGGGGTAAATCCATGAACGGGGCAAATGTAATACCATAACTTTAACTGTTTACACACAAAATAAACTAGTGCTGGCATCTCTTATACACGTAAAGTACTTCTTGCACTACACTCTGACCACTTATTGAATCTGATGGATTGACAGATTTTCACCAATCTCGTGCAATAAAAACCAAAGTATATTTCAATTTGCGTATTTTATTGCCATTACCCCAGATTAGTAACTATCTACACTATTAGAATTTTAACATATTTTTTTACATTTAAGGGGTAAATAGGTACACCGGGAAAATGCAATAGAGAGTTAATCTGTAATCATCCATAATTAAATATAAGTAGTTACATCAAACAAAAGCCTAAAACATGTTTAATATTCACAGTAAAAATTATTTGTAAATTGTAAAAGACCACAAAATAACAAGTCAATCTAGTTATGGTACTCGCATTTACCCCACCTGACCCTACGTACAACTGTTAAAATATATAACCACTATTTTCTGTTATCCATAGTAGCCTAGTATGTGTCCAGGTAAATGCCTCACATTATCATTGAATTAGTCTACTGGAAACGTATACTTCTACTTCTAAGAGGCTCATCTCCCCCCCCTAAAATATGGCGGGGGGGCCGATGGCTGGCCATCTCCTCCTACGTGCTACTGGTGACGCGCGAATCGTGTTCGGTGATGTTAATTATTTCGACTATGTGTTGCGTGTTGTTCCCACGAGAATGTAAGTGCGCCCCTATTCACCATGCCCCCTGTGGGGACAAGTCTTTGTTTTTTATGTTATTATTATTATTCTAAAATGTCATGTGGAACTGGTGAATGGTTGCGCTCTCAAACGTTGAAAAAAAAAAAAGGCGATTAAAAAGGGGCGGAAGTTTATTGCCAGTTCTTCTCCCACCCCTTGATTTGAGACTGGGTAAATTTAAAATTGAACCATTAATATTTATTTCTTTTGACGAATCACAAGTGTCTCCACGTGATTGTTTTTGAATTTGAATTTAAGATGAAATGGTAGATTGGTTTATATTAAGGAAGTGATTGATTGCGGCATGACGTCATTCACGCGTAATTCATATTACTTAACTGCGTCGAAATTTTAACATCCCTTTATGGATTTTACTTCTGACCAAGTAGTTCTATTTCATATATTTATAGATGTCCTATTGTCTTCTATAAAATATTACTTAAAATGCAAGAAATCCTTGATTCCAAATTTTTTTAACTTCTTGTACACAGAATCAAAAGCAGATTCCATTCATAATTAATATTACAAATTAAATATACTAATTATCCAATTGAGCAATTTTCAATGTAAAAATAATATTTAGTTACAAATCTCTTAGCATTTAAAAAAAAGAATTGCGTAAATATAACAAAAGCTGTTAGCGTTATTGTCAACGCGTGAACATTCGTAGATAAAAGTTTGTCTACCGTAAAATGTTTTAGCCACATTTACATTTTAGTTTTCCTGGTCGTTTTCTAGTCTGCTGTTATTGCAACTAATTAAAGATAA